TGTAGCAAGAAGCCAGCAATGCTTTCTAGAATTCTTCATGCTGAAGGTGGACTATAGTATCCCTTTGTAGATATCAAAGGTTTTGTTGATAAAAGGAGAAACTTCACAGAATTAGTCTCAGACACTTACTCTGCCACCCTTAAGAACCACAGTTGTCAGAAAAGCCCTTCCGGCCCTTGTCAGAAATGATGATCCTACGGAAGAAGTGTGGTGCTGTGAGCACTGCTTGTTCAAACATAATGTACAGTAAAAGTAAATGGTACGTTCTTAAATGAACTTCTTCCAGAAGTCATAACTTCACTAGAAAGATCTAAAGAAACCTTCCTTGTAAGGAAACCTAAAAAAAAAAGGCAGTTGTATTACATCAGATTTCCATAGATGGTAACACCCGGCACTGGCCTCCCAAACAAACAGAAAGGATTGCTGGCAGCTCAGATTTTTGGATTCTTTCATTCCCATTTGGAGCTACCACTGACTTTGGATGGAGGCAAACGGAACTGGAGACGAGAGCAGAGAGTCAGGCCCTGCGTGTATGTGTGCTGAGAATGACAGCGTAAGAATAGGAAGCAAGCAAGAAGCAAGTCTCCACCTCCTGCCCTACCCTCCTCGCCCTACAGGGAGCCAAGGGTTCATGGGAGTTCTACCATTTGTCTGCATAACAACAACAAATAAAGAATCGCACAAGCTGGCATACATGCCATGTCCTGAGTCTAAGACCTTCATTTCACACTTTCTTTCTTAAAAAACAAACAAACAACTCTTTATTGTTGCAAGTATTACATATGCACCCTTCCCCTGCACTGACACCTTCTATCCTGCCCCTTCCCCCACCCCAGGCCTTTACCACACTATTGTCTGTGTGCATGGGTTAGCATATATGCATACAAGTTCTTTGGTTAATCTCTTCCTACCACCCACCCAGACCAGCCTTCTCTCTGAGATAATAAGGAATATGACACTTGCTCTCAAACACGAATGTCACCTGGCAGACATAAATACACACAGTAAAAACCCATAACAGAAGCGGGAAGACCTTGGAGGTTGCTGAGACCAAGAAGATCTCCAACGTGGCTAGTCTTGGAATCTCTACCTTCGATGGAAGCAGAGCCGAGGCATTTTTTTTTTAAATGCTACCTAAGTTTGGGACAACCATTACAGTAATTTAGTGTTATTCTGAAAGATGTCTTATACTCACTCTATTATACATGAATATTTTTAAGGAATCCGTTAAAAACCATTGCTTAAGTAACAGTCTAGTCTTTGGCTAAGGAGAGATCATGTGTTGCTTACATAAAAACTACACGAAAATCTACCCGTTAATTCAAAACGCATGCCTGAAAATAGGGAAGAGAAATCCCACGGAAATAGTAATGCTCTTTCCTAAAGCGCTTAGGTGATTTTAAGCACCACCTATCTTGCATATTTTTCAACTGTTTCCTTCCAAAAACTAAAAATGTCTTGTATTTTACAGACTGTATGTTAGCATTGTTGCCTGCCACACACATAGGCAAATTGTTCAAAAGCTTCGATGTTTAAATTAAAATAAATCGCATGCCTAGAGTGGTAAATGTTCCTGGGTTGATAAAGAGTGGCAGCCGATAGACTCCCAAAATTGACTGAAGTCTGTGATATTAGAAAGACGAAAAATTTATCTAGTTTTAGCAAATGTCAAATCAGCAGCTATTGCTTTTAAGATTAATAAAAGATATAATGGCTTCCAGATAGCCTCTAAATAGAGATTACTATGAATGGGGAAGTGATTTACCAACAGTCACCACAATGAGATTTCTTTAAAGGTTACAATCATCAGTTATTTAGTGGAAACACTGCTGAGAACGCCTGGTCATTTCTTGAATAATGCATTATATTCTTTGTAGATTTGATCTGTATTATAGCAATACAGATATTTCTAAAATAATGGAAAAAACTATCTGTTACCTTCCAATTGCTTAACATATCATTTCCACGAAGTAATTGACTCGGGACATATTACACACTGTCACCGGGGTGTTCTTTCTGCAGGCATAACTTGTAAATAATCTGCACACAATGGGCACCACCAAACAAACTCATCAACTTTTATGGACGTTTAAGAAAAGATGAGATGAATGCAGGGCAGAGTGAAGGACCTTTCTGAAGCAGTAAATTAAAATGATTAAAGTTCTATATAGTGGGTGTGACAAATTTACATTTAAGCTCTGCCGTTTAATTATTAACACGAATAACTCATAATTTTTTTTTAATGGTGCCTACATTGTGTAAGTCCTTCTCATCTAAACTTCCAAATGCCTTTAGGTTTACTCAAGAGACTGCTTGGAGAAGCACAAAGTATGATGTGTATTGCTTTATTGTTGGAGTATGAACTGCACTTCCCAGGATGCTACAGGCTATTTATATAAGCTTGTGTATCCATATAAACTTCTTCAAGGGCACAGCATAGAAGACCTTAATAAATTAAAAGGAGTTTCTTTGATGTTGTTCCATGAATGTTTGATCAGTATGAGTAGCAGGTTTGCATTAAAGAACTGGAGTAAAGCAATAAAGTGTACATATTCTGTGTAGCAGAACCAGTTTACAGAGAGTGCCTCTTGCATTTTGCCTTCCTCCCAACTTCTGAGAATCAGGGTAAATACTAGGGAGTCACTATGCTTACAACTACAGTTTTAGCCTCTCACCGGTTTACTAATAGTGGGAACAACATGTTACAACTTGGGTTCTCTGCCGAAATCCGATGGAAAGTTTACAATAATAAAATCTGTGATCTTCTTCCAGGCCCCTAAACACCCATCCCAGCCTCCCTGTTTCTCTCACTGACATCGTCATGTCCTTCCAGACTGCAACCCGTGAGAGCAGAGACCATGTCTGCTTTTTTTTTTTCCTTTTTTTTTTTCCCTTTCCCATCTTTATCATAATAAGTAGTGAGAGTGTTGAGTTGATTGAAGGCCACAAAGCCCAAATGAATTAGTCACACTCTGAAACCGAGAGAATTCTCACCTGGAATTTTTGAAGATGGTGATCCAAATTAAGTATCTTTGGAAATGAATGTGATGTCATAAAGAGCACTTAAGACAGAAAAGCAAAATAAATAAATAAATAGATAGATAGATAGATAGATAGATAGGTAGGTAGATAAATAAATAAATAAATAAAGTGGAATTCTAGTTTTAAATCTGTGAACACTTAACTGTAAACCCTTTCTAAAATGAAGGCATAGTTCTTTGTGCTCTCTAATTCTGTATCTCTAAAAGGCATGATTCCAAGAGTAAGCAGGGCTATCACAAAATAGAAGAATGGGCAGACAAGGGAACCATTAGATTTTTCTACTTTGGTAGCTACTCCTACCACAAAAAAACCTATAAACTACAAACTACTTGAAAGAAAAAATGGAAATAAAGGAAAAGATGATTATCCTAAATACAATAACTTAATATAAGTCCAGTCCCTCAAGCAACATATTTAAAATTTAATAATAACATTTTGTACATTGTGTGATTTATAAGCTTTTGCACTTATCCTTCCATCTTGCATGATTTGGAATAAACATGAAGACAGCCTTCTGAATAAGCTCTTCTGTATATAATAAATACTTATCGGGATTATATTCCTGTCTTTAGCTTGGGAAAATTCCCTACTACTTTAGCCTCTGGAACATGGACTGTTGTGTGGCCAAGTTGACATCTACATTCTTAGGTCAGAGGGCTGTGAAAGGACAGCATAGATGTGCCTTGGCTTGTTTGTTCTCTGCTGTCTTAAACTCACATCTCGCCCTTGCAAGCTACTGTGTCATATGTCCTTCTCAAGCTTTGAATGTCAGTCAGCCTAGAGCCAGAGTCTGGGAACTATAGCTGTGAGCCCATCTGGTGGCAGCTGCCTGCTTTGTAGGCACAGTTTCATAGCACACAGTCACACCCTGTTGTCTATGGCTGAATGCATGCTGCAATGGCAGAGTTGATATAATCCCCAGAATCTACAGAAAAATATGTACTATGGGGCCTTTACAGAACATGTGTGCCAATCCCTGCTCTAGAGGAAAACAACATGTTGTAACTTAAACTCTAATTTTCCTTCCCTCCTAAACATACGAAACACAAACCCTAAGTGCCGATGGCAGAGAGGAACGGACTGACACATGCACATGCACAAAGATGATCACACCTCTGAGCACAGGACTGTAAAGAGCACTGCTTTGACCTCTCATTTTAATGTAAGTCCTCTAAGGGTTACAGCTCCCCACTACCCCTTTCCTACAACAGCCAAGAATACGGGCTTTCTCCAAAGTAGCTGTCGAGGTGTCACCACTAATAAAGAACTCACTCCTCCCTGAGCAAAGGTTGCCTGAAATTCTGCCAATGTCCATTTTATCCCACACTCGGCAAGGGGCTAGAAACTAGGTTAGGCACAAGAAACCTGGAGATCCCTAAAGTCCTATGTTTTGAATGACACACCCTTAAAGTTGGAAAAATCAATGACCAACACCACATGTACACTGAAAACATACGCATACATACTAAAATGCTAGAAATATATACATTTTTTTAGGAATCACAGGAGCACACAAGAAATACCTCTCTTAATTTCTAGAGTGAAGAAGGCCTAAAATTTTAAAGTAATGATTTACATTTAACTGAGGACAAGTACATGTTTATATTTGCAACTTCTAGGCAATATGTTTGGAGACTTGAAACATTAATGCATGGCTTCATTTTTTTATTAATCAATAAAATCATTGCTAAAAATGCCTGCTACAGTTAGACTCTGTTTCCTTCTTTGTTTTGGTGACAAAAGACAGAAAAAATTAGCTCTACCCTTTAGCAATATTCTCATACTCTACCCATCAATAAAAATTTGCATGTATTAACATAACTTAAATTAAACCCAGGAAGCACTTTAATGTAAGTCATTTCATTCCCATTTCTCCAAAACCTTATATAAAGTGAACGAATACTTTAGGCTGACAACTTTTTTGAAAAGAAAATAGAAATAGAAGAGGTTCATTTCACCTTCACATGGTGTCTTTCTCATGCAGAGTTCAGATTTCCACATTTGTATCCCTTTAAAGGATTTGATATGCAGAAAAAGAAGAAAGGATGATGGTAAACATTTCATCTTAAAGACAGCTACAGAACACCATAAGCCACAATGACCAGAGGCTTCCAACTTACCTTTCACGGATGTGTTTGGGGGTGGGCCTTCCATTCGCAAGTTCCATGGAGGGTCCCCCTGGTTAGCAAAGTCCCTCATTTTCAGATAGCTAATTGTAAGTCGGATGATGGATGCCTTGTCCAGCTGGCTCGTGATGGCTGCAGGAAGAGGCAATAACTTGGCCAATTCATAGAACTCAAAATTTTCTTTTCCCCGGCGGGAGCGTGCAGCATCTCGGGATTTCTCCTTTCTCAATGCTTGTAAGCTGAAATCAAAGAAGTAACAAAGTATTGTTTAGAACATATGATTTTCTCATTAGATAGAAACTACTTTTATTTACTTCCCCTTTCCCAAAAAGGGTACAAAAATCTTCTTAAAAATCCCATGGATCTTGGTAAAATACATTCCAGACAATGTCCACAAATAACATAAATTCTACCTCTGGACTTATAGGCCATGAACTCAAGTGCAATGAGTAAAAGTCATTTGCTTGGTAGGATTTTCCCCCTCAATTGACCATGGATTAACATACATTCCTTATTTCTGAAACATGCAATTTACAGGTGGTACTTGATCTTTTCAGCTATAAGCAATGTAAAGAGTGGGCTTGTAGATATCTATTCTCAGATATTTATCATATCTATTCTCAAGATTGGCTTTGTCCATTTAACTATTATTCTGATGGGATTATAAGCCACCAAAAGGATGCATTTAAAAAATTATTTCAGTTATCATCTCTGAGGAAAAAGAAAAATACAAACACAATTCACAGAATCAACCAATAAAAATATTAATGTTCTTCCAGCACTCATTACCAATCAAGACCTCAGTCAGATAAAGAAAACATCCTATTAAAGATGAAGATTTCCATGTAACTTTATAAATGTGCTGTTATTAGTTGATAAGAGAATACTTTTATTATCTTATCAATTGATATACACTAATTAATGGATAGATTCCCTAAATTACTAGAGGATGAAACACATTGCCCAGAAAAGTCAAATTTTGTGATAATATAAATTTAATATTGAAAGACATAAATCCCTGTCTGGGTTATTAAAATTTATAAACATTATAGACATATTACTTCACAGAAGAGGCAACAGGTGAGATCCAGCATTTTTCTTTAACTATTCATGTGCATTTCTGTTTGAAGTTTGCTCACATTGCTGAGGGCAGAACCTGGCACCACTGAAGTTGCCTCTGAGCATCTGACGAGAGAATTCCACCTACTCTGAATTGCTCTGATTTGTGTCTGACAAGAAATAAACTCAAAATCATACACTGGTGATAGGTAATTGGGCAATATTTATAGTATCCAGATACTATTAAAATCACTTCTAGGTATCCATTTTATTGAACTCTGAAGACATTTTAAATCTTTGAGTCTAGCATGCTGGCTTCCCATTATAAAATAGTAGAATTAGAAACAAGGAAGGGAGACCAGAGGAATAAGTCAAAGTGAGTTTATTAGTAGAATATGGATAATAATATTCCAGGTCACACTAGTGTATACCTGATATTGTTCCTGGTGCAAACATTGTATCCAGGGTAGACACTCAATCTTATTAAATATCTATGTAATTTAAATAATGCCATTATGTTCTAGTTTAATGTCCCAAATTATTTCATGTTTTCTCTATTAAAATATTCTGAATTAGCTAACTACTATATTTATCTGAACTGGACAAGTTACTGCTATCATTCTCAGTCTCAGCAGTCTTAAGTGACAAACCTTTGTCTCTTCATATCTCAGGTGGTAACTCAGGCAGAAACATCCCTAATTTACAAGGAAAAGACTTGTTATGCCACTTATATCCCAATATCTTAGCTGGCCTCCATTCAATGCTATAAATGACCAATTGTTTTGAAAATCTATAATAATAAAAGCATGATATACTAATTAGACTAGATATCCTTCTGGATGACCTTTCAAACAAAGCTGGGGCTGCAGCCACAGGATCCAGGCTGCCGCCAGGGCTGCAGCCTACTCTTGCATAAGTTTTGTGCATTGAGCCTCTAGTTATGTAATAAAGTGAGAGGAGCCTTAAAATATGACCAAGTATAAACCTAACTGAGATCCAGGTTAACCTCTTAAGATTAAAGAATGACACATTTCCCTCTCTATCTATAATACAAGCAATCTACCTAACACCATTTAAGTCACCTGTGCAAAAACAAACAAACAAAAAAACCCAAAAACAAACAAAAAAATACCTCTCTTTTCACCTGTTTCCCTACCGCTTATGTAGTGCAATGGTTCAAGTTCAGTGCTCTGTTCTCTTTATATTATTGTAATTGAATATTCTTCCAGAAGGTGGACTGAACTCACAACTTTTGTTTTAGTCCAATAAGTGACTATGATGGAGCTCTGGAAAAGCTGTTGCAAACTCAAGGGCTCCCAGGGTTAAGGCAGGGGACGGCGATAAGTGAAGAGGCCTGGAGCATGGCAGTGCAGGCAAAGACTTTATGAATCTTAAATCCCTTTCGCTCACACACATTCAGCTATCTACAGCTTTGGTGGCAGGCAGACCTGGTGTTGCCAGAGTTCTGGTTTTTCTATTTCTAAAGAACAAAAACTAAACTTTTACATGGCATTTCAAATTTTATGTCATGTTTTAATTTTGTGTTAGCTAGTGAAAGTTCTAAAAATTACACAAGCCCATTAAAATATGCCATTTGGTCAACAATGGAGCAGGGATGCATTTTTATAATTGGCTAATAATTTGGGAGACTATTTTTGAAGGTAGTTTTAGTGGATGATATATATGATTTTCCTTTAGACATGTCACTCAAATGATCACAAAGAAACGCATTTGTTATCTAATTTAATATTACTAATCTATTCATGTTAGGAATATCTCTATTCACCCAAAGCAACGAGAGGATTAGACAATTTTCTGAAATTGATATTAATGCATGAGCTCATCAATAAACTAAAGAAAAAAATAAGCCTATGGGGAGGAAAGCCCAAGATGACAGAAAGCAACCCAATGGGCTCCAAAGCCTAGCAGAGGGGAATGGGAATATGTGGACACCAATGCCTTTTGGCATTCTGCTCCATACTGCCCTGACACCTGACTGTTCTAACCCAGCACTGAGCACAACGTATTCTCTGTGTTCCTACTCCACATTCTGTTGTTTTTCTGTCCCCTCCCCACCTTTTTTACTCTAGCACACACTGTTACCCCACTGGAGTAATCTTCTTGGCCATAATCTCAATAACAAAGGGTTTCCATGACTCCCACATCACATCATTAAGCAGACACCATAGTTCAGAAGACTTTCAGAATGATAGCACTGTGTAATAAGTAGTAATTGGTTTTGAGGGCAATGGCAATAAAATACAGTCAAAGGATTATAGAGGTTACAGAGATGCTGACAAAAATAGATGAAGCTAAGGACCTGAAGACAACAACACAGATTGAAGATTAATCTTTTGTCTGCTTTTGTGAAGTAGAGCCTACTTATAAGCAATTCTTAAATTGATTTAAGGACTACATTAAAACCTAAAATAAACTTTGTATTTATACATTCTGTTCTAAACAAACAAAAAAATATTCATAGAATACTAAAGAAAAGATGGCTTATTTGTACATGAGCAAAATGTTTGAACTCTGCCATTTATAATATGATTATGTTTCAGAGTGACAGTAAGTACTCCCTGGGCCCAAACTCCCTACTGCTGATGCTCTTCCCCTCAGGCTCTGAGAGCAGGAAGAAGAGGAGACCACCTTATCCATCAGCAAATAAAAGAAATAAAAGTGCCAGCACTCTTCGTTGAGGACATTACCAGCACTACCATCAACTAAAAACCAAAAAATCAACAGCTACTTCAAAAGGGAGACATATACATATAGATGTGTAGAGATAGAGATAAATGAAAGTTGGAAGTTCTATATGAAGTTGTATGTATATTTGTATATTTGTAAATGATTTTCAGATTATCCTTAGGGACCCCATCTGCCCAACCAAAAAAGTAATGATCTAGTATCTTGAATTTCCTCTAAGCCTTATTAAGTTAAAATTTCCCCCTCTTCTTGTCATTGATGTTGCCAGAATTCATTTATCATAAACATGTATGTCCAGTTTCAATAATATTATTTAACCTATGTTTCTTCTCAATACCTTGGAATAATTTTTATAAGTTTCTAAAGTTATACCTTATGCACAGATAACAAGAAATCAAAAATTTTACTAGTATTAACAGTGCACATTAAATGAAAAGTTTTGTTGTGGTTTTTTTTTTTTTAAATCCTTTTGTGACTCTTAAATCCCTTTGGCAAGTTGTGAATTTTGTGCAAAGACTCCTAGTGAAGGAGTTAAAGACATATGTTGGCCATTTGCTGCCATTACAATTATTCTAACTCACAAAGTTGAGCCTTAATTTTATCATTTTATAAAATGAGAATGACAAGTAGGGCATTTTTTTTGGTAAATCCCCTGAGAGTTAACTATAAAATAGTAAACTTCTTGGGCAGTTCTAGATTTTAACAATTAAGATAGTTTATGAACTCTAAATGTGGTAGAGTCCACGTTAGAACTTCACAACAGAAAATTTTAAGGAATTGGAAAGGCTCAGAAATGTCCAAATTGAAGTCAACCCATCCTCAGACTTGGACCACAGCCAGATTGTGGACCTTCACATCACCAAGCAGTTACTCGCTGGGCAACCTAGGGTAGGCCTCTCAACCTTTTTAGGCCTCAATTTCCTCATCTGGAAAATGGACATTTTAATAGTACCCACTTCATAATAGTCCTGAGAGGAATAATTGAGCTAATGTGTGCAAATCACTAAATGCCTACCATATTGTAAATATTATATAAACAGTAACTCTTATTATAGTAAATATAAAACTTATAAGGGGGTTGGGGGGAAGCCCAACTGTTTAATCCTACCACCACATCTGATTACCACCCTATTTCTCCATAATTCTTTATAGTTTTCTTTAACCAAGCTTCTTTTCTACCATCATATTTGGCTATATTTTCTATAATTCGGAATACCTGTTTGCTTTACGCATTGTCCTCTCAAGATTCCTTTCTCTACTGCCACTTATGACCTTCACTTTAGTAAATTTAATTTCCCATGTAGTGACAGTAAAATTAAAACTAAATAAAATCAAATCAGAGGCCTAACTTCTGCTTGATGACAAGATTAAAACTGCCTATTTTTTTAAAGTCCTACATGTTCTGATAGTGATTATCATCAGCTTCTGCCTGACACCTTTCTCAGCGTCTTCCATATCAGTAGAAGGTAGACCT